TTCTCAACGGCTATCCGGTAGGGGCATACTGGAAATTTGGGAGAGGTACCGGTAGGGGCATATGAAACATGTTTCAGGCCCAAACGACACCAGGGTTTTTCTGGAAACATCATTCGTTGTCAGAGGGGCGCGACAGGGTAAGTTGGCCGTCAGAGGGGCATGCCGCAAATTAATCGAAATTTCAGGGGCATCTCAAAAAATTTCCCTTTAAAAAATAAAATAAAATAAAAAAAATGCAAATCTGGAAAAGGAGGCTCAGGAAAAGTGGTGGTTTAACAGCAGATACAGTGCCACAACAAAGAAAGGAAGGCCAAAACAGGTCCCAGCAACAGAAAAGGTCCCGTGGCCCAATGGATAAGGCGCCGGTCTACGGAACCGGAGATTCTGGGTTCGATCCCCAGCGGGATCGGTGTTTTTAGTCTAACTTCCAGTGCTGCCAACTTTCAGAAGTACACCACAGGCCTGACCCCCCCCAACAGTTCGGTAATCCAGGGGCGGGCAAAATACCAAATCTGGAAAAGGAGGCTCAGGAAAAGTGGTGGTTTTAGAACAAAATACAGTGCAGCAACGAAGAAAAGAAGGCCAGAACAAATTGGGATAACAGAAAAGGTCCCGTGGCCCAATGGATAAGGCGCCGGTCTACGGAACCGGAGATTCTGGGTTCGATCCCCAGCGGGATCGGTGTTTCGGGTTTAACTTGCAGAGTGACAAGTTTCAGAAACATTCTACACTATAGCAGCAGGCCCAAGACCAAAGATTATGGGTTGAATCCCAAGCAGGATTGGTGTTTTGGGCTTAACAGTAAAACTCGAATGGTGTCATGCTTCAGGAGGTCATCACATTCTACACTCAGAGATTCTGGGTTCAATCCCCAGCAGGATTGGTGTTTTGGGCTTAACAGTAAAACTCGAAAAGTGTTATGCTTCAGGAGCTCATCACATTCTACACTAAGCAGCAGCAGGTCTAACAATTCAAAACTTATTACGTTATTACTCTTCGCAGGATTTCTATGCCCTGATTTAGTCAGGCCCCCTTGTGCTTCTGTTAGGAAGTTGTGGATCTAGGTAGGCCTTGTGCTTCTCTTACAAGGTTGCGGCTCTGTCGGAGCACAGAAGCTGGATTCGATTCATTCTCGCGGTGGTATCAGTTCCTCTGAGAACACACTCCTGCTAGGATTTTTTCAACTAAGTTTGGGACTTGACTGCGGTCAAATACATCCAGTCGCGGCTGTAACTGCAGTCAGATACATCTAAAGAAGTCCTAGTTTGAGTCTGCCGCGAGTGTCAAGGTACACGTTGCGGGGTCAAGAGAATCCAACCCCAAGAATATCCAGCTGCTGAGAAGAAGAATAAAGAACAAAAAAACAGCTGAAATAGCATCCGTTCTCCTCTCAATGGTGTACCGACGGGCTTAGCTCAGTTGGTCCACCCATAAACTGTTGAAATGCAGACCTGAGTTCGAATCCAAATGAAACCAAATGAACATAATTCCTGAATTTACCTAGGGCCAGTCAGTTTATCCCAGGGCTGTTGCCCTTTTTTTTTCTAACATTAAATGATGTCCATACTACACAGACAGTGTTGAGTCTGTTGACAGTAAGGTGGACGATCTGTGGATGTCTGTGTCCTCAGGAGGGCAATGAGCGCTATCAGGTGTTATGTGAGGTTAAGTTCAGTATCTTTTCCCGCCGACGGTTTTCTACATTCATGTGGTTCATCAGGACTTGAGCCATGCGATGTCTACTAACAGTCCGTACCATGCAGCTGGCATGGGCTGGGTAGGGGATACCTTTCTACATCTCCCCTCTCCTCCCAAGATTCAGCGGTCTTTTCCCAGAGCTCAGCTGTCTCTGCTGAGGCCAGAGATTTTGCATCTGGCCAAGGCAGGATTGGTTTGTCAGACTGCTCGTCCTACATAAATTCCAGGTTCATGATGTGCACACACGCCTGCCACATGGTGTCGTCATATGCCCCGAAACAGAAAACCCTCGGGTCAATAACAAACTTGAACATTTTTATGACCAGGCCCATCCTTTGTACGCAATAACACAGCGCCAGTGGGGCCTGACCCTCAGTTGCAGATGAAAGACTAGTCTACCGATCTAAAGTGGACAGCAGGAAATAAGGGGAAAATACATAACATAGACGTCCCTGTGAGTCCAGAGGTAATCGATTTTCACATCCTTCCTTTGTCCAAATGGACCCTAAATTACCCCTGTGACCCCCGAAGGAACTTAATTCCCTATACAAGAGATAACCAACTGCCCCTACAACCCTGATTGACTACTGATTGACTACCGGAGCTGTTCGAGAAGGACAATCGATATCTTTGCTCATTTTTGGGATCATGTAAATAAAATTTAATAAAGTTTAATAAACCAAATTATTTAACAGTCACAATTGCAGGGTTCCAAAGTTCATATAAAGATAATTCCTGCAGTGCAGACTTCAGCCATCTAGACAGGCAGAGAGAATAGAGAAGTACGTTCGATTGCGAACAGTTTAAAATACTAGTAACAATTTATATAATATATTTGAATTTGACAAACTTCCTTCAGGTATCTTTAATAGAACTTTCCTACAGTGTACACACCACAAACCTTAAACCGGATCTGTGCTTGATGTTTTGAAAGAATAACGAGAAATACAAAATGATATGTGAAACCTTTCCAAGAGAATTCACAGCACGAAACTTATACTGGATCCATGTGTGACATTTTGATAGCATAACGAGAATTACGGACGAAAATCCTTGCAATGCCTTTCTGCAATGGCATCGATCCCGCTGGGGATCGAACCCAGAATCTCCGGTTCCGTAGACCGGCGCCTTATCCATTGGGCCACGGGACCCCAAGTGCCTATGTGTTCCTGAGCATTCCCTATGTCTTTTTTTTTAATGAGAGCTTCATTGTGACCCCACACATTTTGGATCATCAATTTGGTGTCCCTTCCACTGGGCTTAGTTCCGGTGCAAAAAGAAAAACGACCAACCTTCAGGTTTCGGGTAATCTGAAGGTTCAATTGCCAACCAGATAATCTAACCTTGCAGCTGTCCAAGGGAAGCACAGAAAAACCTGGTCTCGGCCATAATACTTCTTCTGTTTTTAGTTTCCTGCCAGCATTGCAAAACTTTAAGCCTATCGGGCTGAGCCTTGGGCCCTGGTATGGCGACAGATTCCTTTGCCAAGTGGCTTGATGTCATAGCATAGTCATCAAAAACACAATCATAGACTGTAACCCTGTCACAGGGCTGTCACAGGGGGGTATGTCCTATCACTACAGACCCGTGCCAGCAGCCGCGGTAAGCCGGGGGGCGGGGGAAGGGGGGGGGGGGCGGCGCGTGTACTTTTTGAACAGGCAGACTACAGACTTCTCCCAAATAGAAGAGCATGACCACTGAATCTGTATCTGACCAGAAAGTTGGCTGGAGACCATGCCTTCTACTGGGGGAAGGCTATAGGGGCATCCCGTCTCCACTCTGCAATATCGGCATTCTCACCGCCTTCCTCACTCCTTCCTTACCCCATCCTTCTGCACCCCTCGCATCACTCGTTCCCTCACTTCCCTTCGTTGCCCCGTTTCCTCACTTCCTTCCTCACCCCCTGCCTGGCCGCATGACCATCACCAACTGCCAGTGCTTGTCAGTGTTATACGTACCGCAAAGACATGCTCTGAGAGTCGCCGATCCATAAGCTCATCACGACTGTCAAGCAGGATGAAGGTCAAGTCAAATCTTGATAACAATGCGCTGCTCATTTTCAAGTTCTCGTTGACTGTCCTGGCCCGACTGCAAGAAATGCACCAGACAGAAAATTTTCAAAACTGAGTGAGTTCGAGCTCTTCGCTCTGAGTTCAAACAGTGCTTGTATATCCCTTTCTGAACCAGAGAAGCAGAAATGGTAAGAAGCCAGGAAGCCTCATACACTCTGCTCTGTTCCAGTTAAGGCCCAAAACTCGCAAGGCAAAGAAGAGAATGACAGAAATGACATAGGTTTATGCCATTGCATATCATGAAAAGATGAGAATGATGACGTGTATGACATGACAGGCAGAGACATGTGCAAGGAAGATGAGCAATAGCGAACTTCAGAAATCAAACAGAATCATACACATGAGACCAGATAGTCATGACCTCGAACCAATAGCAGAATTGCATCACGAGTTTCACCAAATAAGGGCACACCAAAAGCTCATAATTGACAATGCTGGAATAGTCTCATCATCATCAACGAAGAACCAGTGTTGATATCCTATCTGGTGCTCGGCGCCCAGACTACAGATGGCAGATCCTATCTAGCCTACTCTACGATGCCGCTGATGACGTCAACAGCTCCCCGAAGTACGAGCAGATCTC